AATTAGCAAAGACTTGGGGAATCAACCCAAATGTCCATTACGTGACCAGGACTGGATTAGAAATGTGGCACCCCACTCCTCTTCACCACACTCCGGCCCACCATTACTATGGGCAGCATTAAAATAGGAATTGAGTTTTGTGGTCCTTTGTAGGGACCATGGATGGCAGCCTAGGAAACCCATCTTCTCAGCAACTATGCAAGAACAGAAAACCCAAACCACCGCTTGTTCTCACTTTTCATAGGTGGGGAACTGGAACAATGAGATGCACCTTGGACTCGGAAGGGGAACATCACACACCAGGGCTATTATGGGGTGGGAGGATTGCATTGGGAGTTTACTACCTGATTATAAATGACGAGGTTGATTGGGTTTCTGATGAGTTGATGGGTGGGACAGGCAGCACACCAACATGGCACAAGTATACATATGTAACAAACCTGCACATTATGCACATGTACCCTAGAACTTAAGGTATAATAATTAAAAAAAGAAAAAAAGAAATTCAACCTAACTTTTTTTAATGTAATAAATAAACAACTATTCCAGCTGTGACATAGATATTAAAGGGAAACACATTGCATGTATAGAATAATTTACAAATCGAAAACAGTATATATACTTCAAAACACAAGCATATGAGAAGTACCTGCAAAGCATGCAGCGCCAGGAGAAATCAAGGTGAGACAGCTGCTGCTTTCAAGACAGCCACCACTTTGAATGGGTGACCAAACCTACACTCAAAGAGACAGTCAAGTATCTCAAGAGAGCATGCAATTCAGAGTCAGAATGAATGATTCACTGGTAAGGGCCACATGAGTACACCAAAATCCATAGTAGCTTTGAATCATGAGTGCAGCCCTGGCCCCAGAGGTCTCTCACAGTAGACCATGGAAAGGGCTGGCCAATCTCATGAACAGCCCACTGGAATCCAAAACACACAAGAGCCTAGGGATCATGAAGGAAAAGCTGTGTATTCATACTGCTTTCAGTGTGGTTCCGGAGAAAACAGAGAAAATAACAGAGCCCTGAAGTATCAGGTAAAGCATATAAGGACCGTCACACAATACAGTCATCTTTGTTTGGATTATTCCATAAGCAGAGCTTGACACAAAGAATTTGAGTGCAAGTAATTTATTTGATAGGTGAAGGAAAACACAAGTAGGGGCATGGGGACCTGAGACGGAGAGGAGAAGACAGATAATAAAGGATGTGTCATCAAGTGGGTTACGCCTGTGAGCAATTGGATCTTTTTTTTATTTTTACTTTTTTGTATTATACTTTAAGTTCTAGGGTACATGTGCACAAGGTGGAGGTTTGTTACATATGTATACATGTGACATGGTGGTGTGCTGCACCCATTAACTCGTCATTTACATTAGGCATATCTCCTAATGCTATCCCTCCTCCCTCCCCCGACCCCATGACAGGCCCCGGTGTGTGATGTTCCCCACCCTGTGTCCAAGTGTTCTCATTGTTCAATTCCTGCCTATGAGTGAGAACATGCGGTGTTTGGTTTTCTGTCCTTGCGATAGTTGAGCAATTGGATCGTAATGCTGCTAGGGAGAAAAACCTGGGTGAAGAACACACAGTCAGAATTATCCCACCCAGGGTGAGGGAGCTAGGGTATGTATACACCAATAGCCATTAGTGATTGGTCGAGGGGTGCTGTAGGGGAAAACAGGAGGGTGTTAATAACCTGGCAATTTGGCCGGGCAGAGTGCCTCATGCCCGTAATCCCAGCACTTTGGGAGGCCAAGGTGGGCGGATCACGAGGTCAAGAGATCGAGACCATCCTGGCCAACATGGTGAAACCCCGTCTCTACTAAAAATACAAAAATTAGCTGGGCGTGGTGGTGCACGCCTGTAGTCCCAGCTACTCGGGAAGCTGAGGCAAGAGAATTGCTTGAACTGAGAGGTGGAGGTTGCAGTGAGCCGAGATCACGCCACTGCACTCCAGCCTGGTGACAAAGTGAGACTCCATTTCAAAAAATAATAATAATAACCTGGCAATTTAGGTCTGCTGAGCATGTAGGTAGATTGGCTCCAGCAGCCAGGAAAAGCCTTCAGTGAATGGGATATGAGATTGGCGGTTGACTTCAGCTGGTCTACGATGAAATGGTAAGACTTGAGTGGACAGGGTGAGCTCTAACAGCATTTGCTATGATTTCCCACAGTGGAAAGAACACCAGATTTGACATGAAGATACCTATGCATGAGGCCAAGACCACTAACACATACTCCTGGGGATGGTGAGAGAAGTAGAGGCAGACGATATATCCTTTACAAAACATAAAGTATAATATGCACACTAACTGTAATTATTAACTAAAAATTTTCAAAACTGAAGGATTATAGCTAGTATGTAGAAAAGGCAGTAGTCCTTAAAGTCACAGTCTTGTGTTCAAGTCCCAGTTCCACCCCTTCTTAACTGTAGGGCTTTGTTTCAGTAACTTCAATTCTCCTTACTTATCAAATGAGGGCAATTAATAATACCTCCTTCATAGTTCTGTTGGGATTAAAAGCACATAAACATGCAAACCATCTAGGACAATAGCTAGCAAATGGTAAGTATCTACTTCATCACCCTTCTTATCATCGTTAAGTAGAAATGTTTGAATGTTACACATAAAGTGAATCGTAATGCAGTAAATTCTATCACAGTTAATTTCTATTGATCTATGTTAAAAGCTAGTGTACACAATAACAATAAGTGGATGGATGGATGGATGATTGTAAGGCTGGAAGTAGATACTGTAGAGTGAGTGGTTAAAACTAAAATACTCATTTTATGTTATTCTGCTTTCAGATCATCTAAAAGCAAATGTTCAATATTTTCTACATCGTCTTAGATGCTGGCTGGTAAGGGCTTAAATTACACTAGCAAACAAACACAACCAGGAGAGTACGGTGTCTGTGAAACTAAAACCAATTCCCATTATGGAAAACCATTTTTTATATGTCTGCTTCCCTGCTTTAGTAAACAGAACACAGAGAACATAATTGAATATTTGATGATTGAAAATCTTGCAGTGTCTGTGAGTTCTCATGCTGAACATCAGTTCTCATCACACAGGCCTGTAGGTGTACTTGTGGGATGGCAACGGATTACACAGAATCTTTAATGGCCTTGAGAAGTACTCATAAGGCTTCTTTTTCTTCATCTTTATCCTTTAAGAAATAAATAAATATTGATATCAGTTGGGTAAGGTTTTTGTTTGTAGATTTTTTCCATCTGATTAAGTTTAGGGAAATTTTGTTTACTGCTCTCTGAATAAGATGAGCTCTCTCTGCCTCTCTGCACACTGAGTCGGGGAAGTTGAGGGGGTCCTTTATCACCTTCCTGAGCACTGGGGGACTAGATACTTTCCTCTATTGGTCTAGACCTAGAGAGAAGGTTAGTAAGCCCAGCTTCTCGTCCTGCAGTAGAGCCTCTGGGCATTAATCTAGGGGACTCTTCCAGATGCATTCTGAGTTTTTAGCAAAGAGTTGTTCATAAAGAGCCATGCCCACCACCCACCATCCATCTCAGCTCTCTCTGGTCTGGCCTCTCTTCCTGTTCTCAGCTCTGCCTATAAGGGCCTTTCCTAAAGTAATGAGACATCCCAGAATGCACCTCCTCATGACCCGTCCTCTCTCTTCTTCTTCTTTTTTTTTTTTTTTTTTTTGTTGTTGTTGTTATTTTCCTGAGACAGAGTCTTGCTCTGTTGCCCAGGCTGGAGTGCAGTGGCGCAATCTCAGCTCACTGCAACCTCCACCTCCTGGGTTCACACCATTCTCCTGCCTCAGCCTCCTGAGTAGCTGGGACTATAGGCACCCATCACCACGCTTGGCTAATTTTTGTATTTTTAGTAGAGATGGGGTGTCACCATATTGGCCAGGCTGGTCTCGAACTCCTGACCTTGTGATCCACCCGCCTCGGCCTCCCAGAGTGCTGGGATTACAAGCATGAACCACTGCACCCAGCCCTGTCCTCTCCCTTATTATGCCAGCCACATTGAATCCTGGACGTTATACTCTGGACATGGGCCTCTCAATGGATGTCAGAGGGAAAAAGTCATGGGGGGCGGACGGGAGACCTAGGGAACATAATATAAATATGCTGGTTCAGCAGATAATTGTCTTGCAAATAAAAGGCAGTTACCTGATTCATTGACTGGAGAGGACTCAGAGTCCCACGTTTAAATGTGAACATTGACCTCAGTCACCGTTTTCTCGCACCGTAATATTCTGGGTCAGTGAGTGGAGGATATAAAGCCATAGAGTGCTTTTCAAAATCTAACCCCAACCATGTTTCAGTAAAAATGCAGTCTACATAGATTCAACTCTGTTTCCTCCTTGGTTTATAGCTTTTGTGCTAGCATTTTTGCGGTCATTTGTGGCTATTTTCATAGGAAGTTTCGAGGAGCATTATCAGGTATTGCTTTTTAATTACCATACCAACCCAGAAATACCAGAATGAGAAGACTGAAATTCCAGTTACCATAAAAACTGCACATAAAAGTCATCTAACCATTACTTGCAGATATCAAGAATGCGGTAAAATAGTGCTGGATTATGGGCACTAAAGCTCATGCCCTTGGCTCCCGAGAAAGCCCTCAGTGCGGAAACTAACAGTTGACTAATTCAATAGCTGTGCTTCCTTTCCTCCTCAAACAGCTCAGTGTGTAGTTGGGTACATTATGGTCCAAAATAAAAGATCCATTTTTCAGCATCCCCTGCTCCTGAGTGACCATGTGACTAAATCCTGGCCACTAAATTCTAGAAATGTTGTATAGGACTTTCAGGAAGTTTCCCTAAGAGGGAGGAAGTACACTTTTCTTCTTTCATAATCCCATTCTGCTGCCTGGAATGCAGATGTGGTGGCTGGAGCACCAGAAGCATCTTAAAACATGAGGATGAAAGTTGCACACCAGGCCGGGCGCGGTGGCTCAAGCCTGTAATCCCAGCACTTTGGGAGGCCGAGACGGGCGGATCACGAGGTCAGGAGATCGAGACCATCCTGGCTAACACGGTGAAACCCCGTCTCTATTAAGAAATACAAAAAACTAGCCGGGCGAGGTGGCGGGCGCCTGTAGTCCCAGCTACTCGGGAGGCTGAGGCCGGAGAATGGCGTGAACCCGGGAGGCGGAGCTTGCAGTGAGCTGAGATCCGGCCACTGCACTCCAGCCTGGGCAACAGAGCGAAAAAAAGAAAGTTGCACACCACAGATAACAAAGAAGACAGCTGGAAGGAGCCTGGGTCACTAATAAATTTCTTGAGCCCCTATTCCAATCTTATATTTCTGATTAACAAACCACCTAAAATACACTGGCATAAAACAATAGCAATAATTTACTATAATTCTCTTTCATGATTCCAAGTGTTGTCTAGGGAGCTCTTGCTCAGTGCTTCTCATATGGGGCTGGAGTCATTTGAAGACTTCCTCACTCACATATGCAGAGGTTAATGCTTATTATATGGCTGGGATCTCAACTGCTGCTCTAACTCAGAACACTTGGCTTCCCAGTGTGGCCTGGACTTCGTCAGATGCCTTACAACTTCTGCTTGTTTCTGATCTCGGAATCTAGCTGCCACATAAAGCCCTTTGTGATCTGCTCTCCAAAGACAGGTTCAAGGATGAAGTCTCACACTCACTTCTGGGAAAAGGGAGGACAGAGAATGGCAAGATCATAGTTCAGGAAAAGCAGAAGATCTTGTTACAGCCATTTAAAAAATATAAAATCTGATCAGGCACGATGGCTCATGCCTATAATCCGAGCACTTTGGGAGGCCAAAGTGGGCGGATCACCTGAGGTCAGGTGTTCAAGACCAGCCCAGTCAATATGGTGAAACCCTGTCTCTACTAAAAATACAAAAATTAGCCAGGCATGGTGGCGTGCCTGTAATCCTAGCTACTCGGGAGGCTGAGGCAGGAGAATCGCTTGAATCTGGGAGGCAGAGTTTGCAGTGAGCTGAGAACGTGCGATTACACTCCAGCCTGGGCAATAGAGTGAGACTCAGTCAAAAAACAAATAAACAAACAGACAAAAAAGGCTGGGAACAGTGACTTATGCCTGTAATCCCAGCACTTTGGGAGGCCAAGGTGGGCACATCACAAGATCCGGGAGTTCGACACCAGCCTGGCCAGCATAGTGAAACCCCATCTCTACTGAAAGTAAAAAAATTAGCTGAGCATGGTGGCGTACACCTATAATCCCAGCTACTCAAGAGGCTGAGGCAAGAGAATCACTTGAACCCGGGAGGCGGAGGTTGTAGTGAGCTGAGATCGTGCCACTGCACTCCAGCCTGGGCAACAGAGCAAGACTCTGTCAAAAAAAAAAAAAAAAAAAAAACCTAAAATCTGCCAACACCCCATGCCGGCCCTAAATGCCTTACTTCCACATGTATTTTATGTGAGAAGCAAACATCTGTCTTGTTTAAGTGGGTGTTAGTATGGGTTTTTCTCTGATGTGCAGGCCAGCCTGATCCTGACTGACAGAGCTCCCGAGGCCATCACTCATACTTGATCTGCATACACTTTACACATGACTCTAACTGGCTTGTTCCATCTGGAGGCTCCTCCCAAAGAAGATAATTGACAACAGAAGAGAAAGGGTGGGCAGGGAACATTGTTAGAATCAAGTCAGGCACACTCATAGCAACACCAACAGAAAAAAGAAATGGAAAAGTTATATACAGTCACCCACACTTTCAGGAGGCATAGCTATCTATATGTGGCCATTTCCTAAAAAGACAAGCAGCAGAATTACGTGAGTTAAAAAATCCTAGAGATTATAACTAAATACAGTAGAATTCAAGAATTAACAAGGCCCTTATAATATTAAAAAGGAACTGAGTTTACTCGTGGCAGCCTGATTAAAGATGATTTTTGTACATATTATTACTGAGGACAATCTCTGAGAAAAGATTTCCTCGTAGGTTTTTGAGACATGATTTCATATTCTTATACTTTTTTCCTTAAAAGAATCTCTGAAAGATAATTTGCTAATGCCCAATTCCATTTTTGAATTAGGCGAACAAATAAAAAAGACACAAAAGCAATCTTAATTCAGTCAGAGATGTTCAAATTAAGCTCAATCTGCACATTAATTTTGTGCCTGGAGGAGCTACTGCATAGCTGTCCCATGATGCCCTGGGGAGCACAGCAGCACCATTTTTCTGTGAAGAACCCTAGATCTCAGGGAAATATTCGAGAACAGAGCAGGGACTGTCCGTAGGAAAGCCCATGGTCTGCAGAGCGCCCATCTCCACTTTCTCACTGAGAAACTAGAGTTAACGTTGTTTCTTCTATCATTTGTTATTTTGTTTTGTTTGGGGTCACAATATGCTTTTTGCTTCTTAGGGTTCTAAAATGCCTTGAGATCAACCAATACTAAGTTCAGTTTAGAAACTCCAAAGAAGAAAGAGTACTTCCGTGAACATTTTTCTCCTTATTCCATCAACCCCAAAGAAAAAGAAACAAATGATTTAAGACATACATCTATTTCCTCACTAGCAGTGTCAAAAAAAAAAAAAAAAAAAAAACCTAAAACATTTAAATAGGATCCAGAGTCTCATAATACAAAAATATCCAGGTTTCCATTGCAAATCCCTCATCATTCCAAGGACGAGGAAGATCTCAAACTGTAGGAAAAAAAGACAATCTACAGATGACATCACTACCACAACAGAGATGTTAGAATTGTTTGACAGATATTTTTAAACCAGCCATGATGAAAATGCTTCAGTGAACAACGATGCACATGGTCAAAGGAAAGGAAAAGAATACCCCAGCAGAGAACTAGAAAATCTCCGCAAATACATAGAAGACATAAAGAAAAACCAAATGGAAATTGAGAGCTAAAAA